AATAATGCTGATGCTCTTAATAGGGTACCCCAGAACTGTCTGCATTCAACCCATTCTGCAACAGCAGTTAATTTCACATCAGCTGATGTAAAGTCATTTCACAATCTTCATCACTTTAGAGTTAATTGAGCATATTATCATAAGAAGCAGGCAGTCACTCAGAAGAATGTATTCATAAAAGAATTTAATTAGAGGAAGGAAATCTTGAAGTTAAAAACTATTGTATTATCTAGAGTTTGAAGTAACTATTGACATATTACAAATTGAAGATTTAGTTTTCAATTGTTGATTGTTGTAAAAATAGCAAGTTTGTACTTTAGAGAAAATTACTAATTGGAAAAAAAACAACAGTGTGCTTCCATTTGGAATACACATTTTTTTAAAAATCATTGACGTCATGTACTGAACTCTTATGAATAAAATGCGTTTGAATAAATTATCAAGTCAGTGCATTGCGGTGTATATTATGCTGGCTTTTTGGCCAACAACACAAGAGAAAAGGCGAGCTTTGAAAAATAAAAAAGTTATTTTTTCTTGGTATGCATTTATTCTTTGAAATGAGCGGAAATCTTTTTACATCAGATGTTAGGGAGCTAAAAAGCTATTTCCCGTACCAAATCGTATTCGCACAATTAGTGTAGTAGCTATTTTATTAGCTTTGTATCATTTTGCCCCTTTATATATATATATATATATATATATATATATATATATATATATATATATATATATATATATATATATATATATATATATATATATATATATATATATAGGATATAGGGTATTAGCCAGCCTGATGGCACCGCATATAACACGGTATTCCCAAATGGTTTAAAATTCCCAAAGGTTCATAAGATCATAGTAAAAAAATAAATCAGTCTCAGATTTAAAATGTCGCGCTAGACAAGTAAAAAACGTAAACATAAAATGAATTAAATTGCTCGTTTTTTTTTTAATGCGTAAAAATATGTCGTCACTAACAAGCATCATTAACATTAACAAGATCATTCATTTAAAAGTTTAAAAAACTTTTTTTTTTAATTTTTATTGACGTTAGTTATTATCGAGTTAAGATTTTTCAATATGTTTAATTAATTATTTTATTAATTTTTATTATCCAAAAACTCTTTATTTATGTTTTTGCTGTTTATCTTAAGTTAGTAAAGTTACAAATAATTTGCATATTAATAAATATTATACTTTAAAATAAGTTAATAATGTTTTTATAATAAAAAATTTACAAATACTTTTGGTAAAATAAATTAGCTGGTAAAGTAAATTGCTCTGCCCCTTAAATGTCTTTGTTACTTATTTAAATTAAAAGATTCAAATAGTTATATATTTAAATATATTTCTTCAGAACTAATCGTTTAAACCATTTAAAACTGTATTTAAAAAGGGATGTACGCAATTAATATAGATCAAAGTTTCAATAAAATTTAATAATTCATTCATTAAAACTACAAACAATTGTCTTTTGTTCTTGATTTCTCTCTACTCAGGCACAGCAGAGATATTTGCCCTCCCCCCTTTTTTTTTTAATAAATAATTTTGAAGAAATTGACTAAAAAAATGAAATTAAAATTAAAAAAAATTTATTATATTAAAAAAAATTAATTTAAAAAAAAAAGGTCCTTCAAACTATTTCAGGGTAGTACTGACCCCCATTCCCTCAATATAATTTTTGTTCCTACAGCCCTGCTACTATACTGTTGCCGTTTTTAAAAACACCTTAAAAAAAACAGTTTTGACTTTTTTTTTACAAAATAAGCTACTTTAGATGTCTACAAAACGTCATTGAATACATATTTTCAAAGAGTTCTTAAAAAATTTATAATAATTTTTAGTTTCAAAAAGCATTTTACAAAAATTTTCTCCTAATAATTTTTTTTAATTGCATTTTTCTTAAAATATGTAATAAGCATATTGAGGCGTTTTGAAAAACAGCTGCAGTATATCAAACAAAGAAAAGAAGCAATTTAAAAAAGAAAACTTTAGAAGATTGCTCATAATGAAACAAGTTGAATAATTAAAGTTAAACATTTATAAAGTAGAAAAATAATCCTACTGTAAATATAACACCAGGCTTTCACAGGAAGGCGTGCGATTTCACGTCTTTATATGACCACGCAAAAAATAATATGTTTTAACAATTTGACCATGGCATATTTTCTAAATTTAAAAAGGCGCTACAAAAATTTATCTGAAAAAAAAATTGTAAAAGTAAAAATCTTAAGAAAAAAGAAAAAAATAAAAACTTAATAAAAGCAAAAACACAAAAAAATAAATATATATATAACCCAACTAAAACAAAACTCATCAAACTAAAAAGCTTAGTCTATTTAATTTACGCATTAAAAAACAATTTGAATCTTTGCTTCAACATTTGTATATATTTTTTATTTATTTAATATGTTCAAAAGTTAAACATTTCTCATAAAAAATACATAGTTATATAAATAAAATAAAAATCATTTTATTAATACTTTTTTTTTAGTTAATTAGAAGTGTTTTTTTTACTTCATTAAAAGCGTTTTGCTAAAATAAAAACATTTGTTAAAGATGTAATTAATTTCACTTTTTTAGAATATTTTTTATTTAGCGTGTTTTTAAAATATTTTTTGAATTAGCCGCGGTCAAACCGTCATAACAAAATGTAACTTGTGTGGTCATATAAAGACGTGAAATCGCATGCCTTCCTGTGAAAGTCTAGCAAAAATAGAACATTTATTTTGATTAAAATTTAATTGTATCTAAAAAATGTGAAATTTATCTGCTTTTTTAAATATCAGAATGTAAAGACCTTTTTTTTTAATTCTTAGCCGCACCTAATTTCCCAATTTCACAAAATGCTAAATGAAATTTTTTTCTGGCTAACACCCTGATATATACACTCTTATATATATATATACTCTTGCATGGTAGTCAGAAAGAGTTTCCCATAAACTGTAGTTTTAAAGAGCGCGTTAATAAACCAGACCAGAAAAAGTTTAAAAACTTAAATTTTTTTTTTTTTTTTAATGATAGACTGCCTGCCCAAACTAAATCCTCAGTCGATGTAGCAGCACTCTCTTGCGAGTCAGGCTATTTGTCAGTCGTTGTAGCAGCACTCCCTTGCGAGTCAGGCTGTTTGTCAGTCGATGTAGCAGCACTCTCTTGCGAGTCAGGCTATTTGTCAGTCGATGTAGCAGCACTTCGTTGCGAGTCAGGCTATAAGATAGTCGATGTAGAAACACTCCCTTGTAGCAGGAGGCTATAAGATAGTGATTATGCACTTATAATTTATAAGTGCATAATCATTTTTGAATTTAAACTTTAAAAAGTATACAAAAAGTTAAATATGAAAACATAAATGAATTAAAAAGAATAATGGAAAAGTTTGTCACTTGTTTAAAAGCTAGTTATTTAAAAATATTTGTCTGATTTCATTTTTAATTTAAGGTAACTTAGACAATACTTTTAATAAATAAACATCACACAAACTCTGGTATGTATGTTTTATCCCAAAAATGATAAAAATATGAGTTTTAATTTTGACCACTTTGCTAATCCATGGTTCATTATGCTTTGTTTCAAAACAGAGAACAAATCATATACAGCTTAAAAAAGTGTTTTGCAGTAAACCACTGGTTCTGTTTACATGACACTGCAAGCCTTGTTTAAAAGCGTTATGCTTATTTATGTACGCCTTAAGCGATTTTGTGTAAACAGTAAGCAATTTTAGTTAAGTGACTTTTTATCATTTTTCAACTTTTAAATTGCTCTATAAGCAGTAAAATAAAAGAAGTATTTAATTTTTAAAAAATTTACATCGACTTTTGAATGATGTTTATGTAAAAATATTTGTTACAAAAGTTTGAATGACGATTAAGTTTGAAATAAGCCCTATTTGCTTATGAAAAAAACTCATTAAGATCATAAAAATGTAATTTAATTCTGTTAAAAAATATATGATTTAATTTAAAACTTATTTAATAAAAATACATTATTTAATTTAGATTTTAAAAATATATAATTTAATTTAGGTTTTAAAAATATATTTAAGTTTATTAAAATTAAAGTTAATGCTTTGGTTTAACTGAACTGTCAAATTTATTTAAAAATATTACTATTATTCAATATTGAAATTTTCTTCTTAAAAAAAAATTAATTTATTTTTATATAAATTATTTTTTCGGTTTTCTTTCCTAAACATTTTTTTTTTAGTCAAAATTAAATTTTAAATAAACAGCTGCATCAAAAATTTGCACAAAACGTATGTTAAACCTTTTTTTTTTATAACACAAGTTAAATCACAGGGATTATTTTTAATAAACAATATATACAGCAATATAATTTTAATAATAAAATAATTAACTAAACTTTCTTTCGATAAATAAAGAAAATAAATTAATGTAATTTTTTTATTTGTTACTCACTAATTTTTTTTTAAATAAAAAATCATTTGTAGTTGCAAAGCCGCAATTAGAAATTTAAGAAATAATCATTTTAAAAATTTTATATATTTTAATTCATTTATGCAAATGTCGAGAAAAGAAAGAGATTTGTTAATATCAAACATTTTTAATAATGCAATTTTAAATTTAATTGTTTAATATTCAAAAGAAAAAAAAACATTTCCTTATAGTAATAATGAAAAAGCCATAAAATAACATTTAACCCGTTTTGTGGTAACTAATATTATTACAGTAATTTAAAAAAGTTGATGTCTTTAAAAAATAAAGAGAATTTTATGACGTCAAATATTGCGTTAAGTTAATGCATTAAGCATTTTTTATTTAAAACAAAGCTTGACAGCGAGATCTTTGTTTAGTTTGCTAACTTGTTTTTTTAGAGCTGTTATATTTTATTTTTTTTAAATAAGTAAGTCATTTTAAATTGAAATTTTAAACATTTTACTAGGTTACATTTATCAAAAGTCATGCATATAAACTGTATGTAACAGGTTATACTTGTGTGAAACATGTTTTAAGTCTAAAATATTTGTTCATGTTTAGAGTGAAAAAGATTCAAAAGAAGAAATATTAAAAGCTTTTCGGCTATTTGATGATGATAATACGGTTAGGAATTTTATTTTTGTGGCTTGTGTTTTTATATAATATATATATATATATATATATATATATATATATATATATATATATATATATATATATATATATATATATATATATATGTATATATATATTTATATATATATATATAATTCTTGCTAAAAAACTTATATAATGATTAATAATAAGTTTTTAACGTAAGTTAAACAATTTTATAGATTATCACCATGACCAGTTCAAATGCGGATGATTTTAAAGTGTTTTTTTAAAATCCACCTAATCAATTATAATGATTTTTTTTAATAATGATGCTTACAAAATTAGTTTATTTGTGAGTGTAGTTTTGTTTACTTCTCATTAGCTTTTGCAATGTTGAGTATTGAGTTTGAAAATCAAAAAAAAATTTTACATAGAAAATCCATTTTTCTCATATTCCATATTTCAAAACCATGTAAAGTTCCAAAATCAACTGTTCAAATTTTTATAAAACGTTTTAAAGAAAACAAAACTGTAGCAAGAAATTTTGGGAAGTAGTGGAAAATCAAGATATATTTCCAAAAAGAAGGCAAAATCAATAGTCCGCTCAATTCATCAAAATCCGACTCAACAAGATTTCACAAAAATCCATCACAGCAAGATTTAGCTACAGTTTAAATACAGTAGATTTTCTTTTTGAATACTCTTTCATTCAAATAGTATTCAAAAAGGAAAATCTGAAAGCATATTACAAACAAAAATACCAAGAAGGTTGCTTGATGAAGAAATCAACGCAATTGGACAAGCTAGAAATTTGCTTAAATTAATTACGAAAAAGAATCTATGCATTTTAGAAAACTTACTATAAAAAAGATCGCTTGATTCTTCCAGGTAATCAATACCATTATCAGTGGAAGCGCCATAAAGCTTCTGACAAATTTAAGTACATTTGAGTTGAAAAATGTGCTCCCAAGTTCTTTGTATGGCAAGCTATTTGTAATTGTGGCTTTAAAAGTTATCCTTTCATTACAAATCAATTTTTGACATCAGTTCTATATGTGACTGAATGTTTGAAAAACGACTTCTTCCTCTGATTAAAAAGCACAAACAACCAACCTTTTTTTGGCCAGATCTGGCAACCAACCTTATTTTGGCCAGATCTGGCAACGATCCACTATTCCAAAAAAGTAATCCAAATGTATCAGAACAATATAGCCAATTTTGTTCCCAAGGATGTATCATTTATGTTATATTTGGGTAAAACATAAAAGAAGATAATTAAAAATCCATTTTTATGTATATTTAATTATCTTCAAAACAATATTTATTATTTTATATTATTAATTTTTGTATTTAAATATTTTATTTATTTAAATACCTAGTATACTAGATATTTAAATGCGCCAATTAAATTTACTTGGTGCCCTCATGCGGTAAACAAATCTCACTCTGCTCTTTAAATGCCTATGTTGCTTATTCAAATTAATTCTAAAATAGCATATTGCAACGAAAGTTTATTTGAAAACAGATGACGATCTTGCAAGTCCACTTGCAAGATCATTATCTGTTTTCAAACTGGCCACACAACACAGTACTTCTTAACTATTTTATTAAATTTAACGTGTGTTGTCAGATTTTAAGCATTTAGTTTTCTTTTGTAAAAAAAGCTACTAGTTTCAGCTTTCAGCTAACTAACATTTTGCAGATCAAACTAATGACTACTACATCACCCAGTTGATTGTTACATTCATGTTTTTCATTGTCGTGCTTTTCTTTTTTTTTTCTGCAAATGGACCTTATATATTTCTTCCATGCTTTTCTCAAGTTGATTATTTTCTTTTGCTATTTTATAGGCTTCACAATCATCATGTCTGTCTTTTTTTGGTTTATGGAGACTTAAATTATGACTTTAATATGAATCTAAAGTAGGACTCTTTAACTTGTTTTATTTCTTGCTTACTGCTTTTTACTATTACTTTTTTTCAATATAGACCTTGTACATCTTTTTTACATTCAAATTTGAGGCTAAGTACTGCCTGGTAACTAAGTACGGCCTGGTGCTTGAAGACCCACAATAGTGACTATCAACTGTCAAGAATAAATTTATAAAGTGAATTACTTTATTTTTGATTTCATCTGAAACCTCTTTTTTAGTATGCTTTTATCTCATGTCTGCTTTTTGGCATACCAGTCAAAAGATCTTTTTTTTTTTGTAAATAATTTTTTAACTAATACATAGTGTTTGTATAAAAAAAGTTTTACTAAGTCTGATATCTTTATTTGCAACAACAACAAAATATTGAAAAGAATATTGTCTTTTTAAAAAAGGAAATTTGTCTTTTTAGAAAAAGGAATATTGTTATTTTAAAAAAAGAATTTTGTCTTTTTAAAAAAGGAATATTGTTATTTTAAAAAAGGAATTTTGTCTTTTTAAAAAAGGAATTTTGTCTTTTTACAAAAGGAATATTGTCTTTTTACAAAAGGAATATTTTCTTTTTAAAAAACCTACTCTAGTCTGACAAGCTATCACACTTTAATTTTTGTATAACTTGAAATAAAAAAGTCCATTTTTTTCTGTATTGTAGACTATTTAATAAAATTTCTCTGCTTATATGTAAGTTTTATGTTGCATTTATACTTGGAGTTTTCTTTACACCTCTCAGAAATTGTTTTTGATGGAATTATATCTATATAAATTATATTTTGAGTATTGCTAACAGAGTCTAAAGAGTCTTGCAAAGACTATCCAGACTTGCATAATTTTCTATGTTTATTTATTTTCCAATTTTCTGGATGTCTAATCCTCTTTTTGGTTGTTTTTTTACTGCTTGTTTCAATGAGACCATCTTTTTAAAATTCAATTTGTTTCCTGAACTGAAATCAGTTCAGGAAACAAATTCCTAATAAAAAATGTATTTTTATTAATTAAAGTTTGTATTAACTGTAAAACTTTACTCATTCAACTTGTTATTACTATGGTAATTTTTATCATTTGAATCATCACTGCTATCGAACAAAATATTCTGATCAAAGTCTTTATTAATTGCATTTAAAACTTCTTGCAAAAACAATTTCTTATTTCTCTGAACATCTTTAAATTAAAACTTAAAATTAATTGGTTATTTTTGCTGATAGAACCTTATAGCTCAAACATTTTCTAAAGGACTTATTAACACTAAAGAATTGTTACAATACACTGTTGTACATTCTTATTAGAACTTTCGTCAAAACTTGTTCAAAACTAAAAAATTTAGGAAAATGTTAATAACTCATTTTTTTGCCAAAATGTCAGTTAGAACCTTATAACTCTCATGCAACTATATATTGAATCAATGTTTTTTAAAAAATTGGAGTTACTCAAAACTTCTTGAGCCCTTTTAAAAAACACTGATTTATATGCATTTGGTGACTTTTTTTTTTTAACCTAAATCCATACTTTCTTTTTTTTTCTATAGAAAAAGAAGAGAAAAATGGAAAATAATGAAAAAACTTATCTCTGCCCCAATCTAAATGTCACAGTTGATGTAGCAGTGATTTATTACTGCCCCAATCTGATGTAACAGTCAATGCAGCAGTGATTTGTGCAAGAAATATAAGAAGGTGCTAGAAATATTAGAAGTAAAATTAAAAATCTTTAATCTGTGCTTAGACCCAGATATTGTAGCTGTTATGAGTGATGGAGCAGCTGTTATATGTAAAAAAATTCAGGAGATTGTCCTGCTAATCAGCAATTATGTTACAGCCATGCTTTACATCAGCTATAAAAAGTAAAGAAATTTAAAAAATTTCTATAAAAAACAATTACAAAAACATGTAACTGAGAAAGAGCCTTATGAATTACTTTACTCTTTGATTGCAAAACAAGATAGAATAAAATGGAAATCATGTTAAAACAATTTTTAAGAATAAAGGACGCTATTAAAAAGTCTTAATTGGAATTAAATTTAAATCATCTAGGATCACTATGTCAATATCACAAAAACATAACTATTTAGAGTTTGAACTGAGAAGATTCTACACTATTAACTGCAGAAGGGACTTCAAAATTTTTATTTGGGAAGTTAAAGGAAGTTAATTTTAAAGGAAGTCAAGAATTTCTACTAAAAATAAAAGTAGAAATCAGAAGAGATAATATTGTATCTTTGTATAAATTTTTACAAATTCCAAGCTCTGACGACAAAGGTGCTCTATCTTAAAACTGTTAAGTTTGTCAATTGACACTATTAAAGAAATTAATGCTGTGGATGGTATTGATTAAGTTACAAGTAAAACTATAAGACAAGAATGCAATAGGTTCCTAAGAACTTCTTAGAGACGTACTGTCATTAATAAAATCTGCATCAATGCAAAATGAACAAAATTTTTCCACTGCCAGTGATTTTGTTACGAAGAAAAGAAATAGGTTATTAAGTAAAATATTGAATGCACTAAAATTTCTTTTTAAGATTAAGATATAATTTTACATTTACATTTATTAATTTAAAAAAATAAAATTTCAATATTCTTTTTCAAGTTTTAAATTATGTTTTTAGTTTTTTGTATTTCTAAATAAACTCTAGTTTTTAAGTTCTTATTTAATGTGTTAATAGTTAGCATTTTTCTATTTTTATTATTTTTAAGTTCTTATTTAATGTGTTAATAGTTAGCATTTTTCTATTTTTATTATTTTAAAGTTCTTGTTTAATGTGTTAATAGTTAGCATTTTTCTATTTTTATTATTTTTAAGTTCTTATTTAATGTGTTAATAGTTAGCATTTTTCTATTTTTATTATTTTTAAGTTCTTATTTAATGTGTTAATAGTTAGCATTTTTCTATTTTTATTATTTTTAAGTTCTTATTTAATGTGTTAATAGTTAGCATTTTTCTATTTTTATTATTTTTGATTAGGTAATGTATCTAATAAGTTATTTTTGAATAAATATATGTTTTTTATTAATAATTTCTTGCCTTTAATGTTTTTCAGGTTTATTTGTATACATTTTGTACCTATTATTTAATATTTTTGCCCAAATATGTCATATTTTATATTCTTAAGAGACAAGAAGAAAACTCTTATTTCTCAAGAAATAAAAATCATTAGGAAATGCTTAACATGAAAAAAAATATTTCTTAAAATTTTTATCACAAAAAAAAGCTTCTTAAATACTCATCACTCAACTAAAAACTTCTACATACTCAGGCCTCAGTGGGAAGCGAGAGTTTTACCTCTCACTTTGGCCCACACTCTACTAAAGTGATTTACAGGAGCAATTTACAGCTCTCGCATAAATATAATTTTTTCATAAATGTAAAAATTTCTCTTTTTTTTAGATATTGATTAGAAAAATTAAAAATTCTTTTACAAACTATATTGAATAAAAAAGACTAAGTTTGAGTTTCAGATTGACTTTTTTGCTTACAAAATGTGATTTTTTATTTATTTTTGCACTCATTTTTTGTAGGGATTGATATATTTTAACTTTTGGACTAAGTTATTTTATACTACAATAATTGTTTTGTTTTTAGTAAAGCTGAATTTTAGTATTATAAATGTGAAATAAGTATTACATGATTATAATACAAAATTAATAAGAATAACAGAATCAGTAAAAAAAAAATTTCTTTTCAAGCACAGATATGCAGAGCAAAGAGACTTTTCTCTAAAATTAAACATTAAATCTTACAAATTGTAATTATTTATTTTATTGTGGAGTCTTAAATTGGTGTAGTTCTTAAACATCCTGCATTCTATTAAAGTAAGTATAAAATATTTTT